ATTCTGCCAAACCCTGGGCTTTTCCTTCCCCCTTTCTCCCATCCTTCTCCTTTTATTATATCCTGTGCTGCTGTCCGCTGCCCTCACGACTTTCCTTGTCCTTTCCTTACTCCATGCGTTGAGGCGGCGCGTGGGGCTTCCTCTTAGCCTCCCGGGTGTTTGTGCCGTGCCCGGCGACCCGTAAGCTGGCCAATGGAATCCTGGTGGTTGAGCCCTACCAGTCAGGGGGGCAACACGCCACTTTGGTCCGGCGGTCAGTCTAGAAGGGCGGCCACGCCTAGCCCAGCGTTGGTCAATCGGCTGTGCCATCCCGTCAGAGGGCTGGCTGGGCGAGCCTCCACAGGTAGTAGAAGCCAGACGAGGATGGTTTGCTATCCTCGATGTATGGTGGAGCTATCTGTGGGGACTATACTTCCTTTGTGTCGACATTCACGGTATCCCTGGGGTTGTGTTCTAGCGGAAGGCGACAATGAGCACAATCTCCCGTTGAGGCTCCACGGAGGGTGGGAAGCCGAGGAAGTAAAGATCTGCATTTCGCATGGCAAACAAAACAAAAACCAAGGGTGTGCCTGCCCCCCTAAATGTAGGCAACGATGGCGAAGGTGGAGCTACATGTAGAGCTTCCACTGGACCGAACAATAATGTCAAGGAGACGGATGGGCCCGTCCCCCGGTTCCTTGTCATCAAGAGAGTGATAATGATAATTTTGCAACAGTTAGTCCATTCCTTATTTCTAAGACCATAAATGGTATAATAGGAGACCCTAACTCTGTTAAAAAGATTAAAGCTGGCATATTGGTGGAAACAAAAACAGATGCCCAGTCTCACAGACTCATAAGAATACAGCATTTTACAGATATTCCTGTCACAGTAGAAGCCCACCCAACGCTAAATTCTAGCAAAGGGGTGGTGTACTGCAAAGATCTCTTAAATTGCCCTGAAAGTGAAATTCTCGAGGAACTGAAATCAGAAGGAGTAATACATGTACAGAGAATTAGAGTCAAGAGGGACAATGAACTGCGTGATACTCCAAATCACATAATCACATTCAACTCCCCCAGATTACCATCGAAACTTAAATGCGCTATGTATAAACTTGATGTTCGGCAGTATATTCCCCCACCAGTACGCTGCTTCAGATGCCAACGGTACGGCCATACGTCATTGTCTTGCCAAAATGAACAGGTATGCATATGTGGAAAGGAGTTACACATGGGAAGACCATGTGATCGCCCGGTACAGTGCCTAAATTGTCACGGGCCTCACGTGGCTTCATCGAAGGAATGCCCAAGATACAAAACAGAATTGGCTATTCAGAAACTGATCGCTACTGACAAAATAAGTTATATTGAGGCCAAGAAAAAGGTGGTGGTGCATACTCCACAGCCAAACGTGTCGTATGCACAAGCCACGCAAAAGAGCCAGGATGATGATATTATCGAAAAGATCATCCCACGTCTGACTAATATCATCCAATCTTCGATTTCTCAAGCACTGAAAGGCAAAGATTTCCATGAAATTGAGCAACCTCAATTCGTTACACCTCACCCAAAAGTATCACATAGCTTGTCTCTTAGAAACCACAGCCAATCAGATGCCTCTAATCAATCAAAAAGAAAGGCATCCTCACCTGTTGATGGGTCAGATCTCTCTGATGCAAGTCTAACGTCATCTCAGACCGACGACCCAGAATCCAGAAAAGGCAAGCGCGGCTGGCCGAAGGGTAGACCCCGAAAGAGGGCTGCTCCAGCTCAAACCAAGCCAGATCAAATCAACGCAAGAACTAATACTGCGTCTTGTGGACAACCTAATGCTTCAAACCCACAATCTGGAGACAACCAGATTGGAAGCGAACCTAACTGTGATGAACCTGTGATAATAGATAGTTAAATTTTTAATATTTAATTCTATGTTAATTTATTCACCTTAATTTTGATATTTGTTTACTTGTCCAAGTATTTATATATTTATTTAATATTTACTTTTACATTATTTTCTAACTTTACATCCCGTATTTGGGATAGTTTCTCCATATTTTAATTGTAGGAGTTAAACTTTTTAGTACAATATGCAAAACATAATGCAATGGAATTGCAATGGTTGTGTGTCTCATCTGAATGAACTTCGTGTGATGGTTAGGGAGAACGATCCTTTCTGTATTGCATTACAGGAAACCCATTTCCGTCCAGAGACATCTTTCTCTCTTAGAAACTACAATACTTACCGCAAGGATGTCATACCAGACCGCAGAGCACGAGGTGGTGTGGCCTTACTCGTAAAGCAGAATATCATAGCGCAGGAACAGAGACTGGATACGGAACTTCAAGCTGTCGCAGTTCGCATCACAACGCCATTTGCTGCTACATTGTGTAGCTTATACTTACCTGATGGCGATTGGCATATTGATCAGTTGTACAGGCTTCTATCAGAGCTTCCAAGACCAATTATTTTGATGGGCGATTTTAATGCGCACTCACCTTTTTGGGGATCTATGCGCAGAGATATCCGGGGACGAACTATAGAGGAATACATTGATTCATCGAACTTAGTTCTATTGAACTCAGGGTCTCCTACGCACTTCGATATCAGAACAGCTGGATCCTCTGCTATAGATCTCTCACTATGCTCTCCACAACTGGCTACTAGATTATCCTGGAAGGTCTTAGATGATCTCAATTTTAGTGATCACTTTCCAATCATCATAACAACGGATGTCCCCAAACTTTTCTATCCGTCACATAAAAGATGGTTATCTGCGAAAGCTGATTGGAACACATTTTCTGAGCACCTTCGTATCCCTCCTCTAACTGAAGACATTAATACAGCAGTGGACGATATCACACACGCTATAACAGATGCAGCAAAGATTAGCATTCCCATGACATCCGGGACCTCATCTAATAAAGCTGTGCCGTGGTGGAATGAAAACATTCAGAATGCAGTCAACGAGAAGAAAACCGCTCTGAATAGATTCAAGCGCAACTCAACCATGGCCAACATGATCTCTTTCAAAAAACTACGTGCTAAAGCACGAAGGCTCATAAATGAGAGCCAAAAGAAATCATGGCAAACTTATGTCTCGTCCATAACTTCTGAAACACCTATCAAACAGATGTGGCAAAAGATCAATGTTATTGCAGGCAGGAATCCGTTTAGACCCCCAAGCGCTTTGAAGGTAGCTAATTCGGTAATCGAGGATGTTTCTTGCATATGCGACACGTTTGCAGACCAGTTTGAACACGCCAGCAGCAATGCAAATTATGATCCCAACTTTCAGCAGCTCAAACTAAATTCCGAAGCACAGGGAATCAATTTTGACACATCAGAACTACATCTATACAATGTACCATTCTCATATGAAGAACTCGAGTCTGCCTTAGAGAACTGTAAAGACTCTGCACCGGGTATAGATATGATACCTTACTGCATGATTCGAAACCTTCCAAGGTCTGTCAAAACTCAGTTACTACAGATATTCAATAATGCGTGGGTGCGAGGTATATACCCTGATGCCTGGAAGGTTGCCATTATAGTACCCATTCTCAAAGACGGTAAAGACCCTACTTCACCTAACAGCTATCGACCTGTATCGCTAACCTGCTGCCTGGGAAAACTCTTTGAAAGAATGGTAAGTCTTAGACTAGTATGGTACCTAGAACATAACCAGCTGATCTCAAACAATCAGGTCGGCTACAGGCAGTACCACTCCACGGTAGATGCACTCGTAAATCTTGAAAACGCAGTCCAGGATGCATTCATTAAAAGGCGTCACCTAACGGCAGTCATGTTTGACCTGGAAAAGCGTTCGACATGACCTGGCGCTTCGGTATTCTGAAACAGCTCCACGAATGGGGTCTTCGTGGCAATCTCCCAAAACTTATCCAAAATTTCTTGTCTCATCGCTCATTCCGAGTCCAGGTCGGAGACTCCAGGTCCTCGACAAGGAGGTTGGAAAATGGCGTTCCACAAGGATCCGTTCTAAGTGTTTCACTATTCATCGTAGCCATTAACTTCCTGGTTGATAGCACTCCTCCGAACATTCAACCCCTCTTATATGTAGACGATCTCTGCATATTCTCCACCGCCGCACTTGATGGAAACTTTGACCATCTGCAGGATGAAATAAACAGACTAGACTCTATAGCAAGGGATAGAGGGTATTCCTTTTCAGCAACAAAATCGACGTGCATCCATTTTTGCAGACTTCGCACAGCACATCCGCAAGTCTCTCTCACACTGAGAGGACAAACTATAAAAGCTGAAAACTCTGTTAACTTCCTGGGCATTATTTTTGACCACAAGCTCTACTGGAAGGATCAAATTGAACATCTCACAACTCGTTGTAGAAAATCTCTCAACCTGATCAAATGCATAGGAAATACCCGATGGGGTTCAGACCGCGAAGCTCTCATAAAGGTTTACAAGAGCCTAATCGAGTCTCGAATTGACTATGCCAGAGTTGTTTACAATTCTGCAAGACCATCCAAGATCAAGGCACTTGAAAGGATTCAATTGGCAGCCCTAAGAGCGGCTACAGGGGCTTTTCGTACGAGTCCTTCAAGTGCCGTCCTCTGTGATGCTGCAGCAATACCCTTACAATTAAGAGGTGAAATGCAAACTGCCATCTATATGACTAAAATAAAATCTCTTACCAGACATATTAATCTGAGTATATTGGAAAGCGATAACGAACATACAAATCGTCCAACGTATACACGTCCAGCCAGAATCCGTAGCCTTGAATTCCAACAAGCGAACAACATATCAATAAGGGATGTGTTGCAGAGAGCCCCATACGACACTCCACCTTGGACTAGGTCAAAGCCACATATTGATATTCGCCTTTCTGTATTTCTTAAAATGAGACAGCACCCCAGGTGTATCTCGCTCGTTTCAAACAAATTACAGATCACCTCCACGATCATCTCTTCATATACTCGGATGGATCTAAGAGCAGTACCGGAGTGGGAGCATCAATAGTAGTTAACAGTGTTTGCCACATGTGGAGTCTGGATCCGATTTCAAGTATTTTCACTGCAGAATGTTATGCCATCTGGCAGGCACTTCTATTCTTTGCATTGTCATCTAGCTTAGCGTGTTCGATAGTATCAGACTCTCTGAGTGTGATCAGCTCCATAGGAAATAACTTCACCAAGGATGAAAGAATAAGTCGAATCTTGAACTTAACCAGCTCACTAGAAAATGACCATAAAAAAGTCCGTTTCATATGGGTACCTAGTCATGTGAATATTATCGGCAATGAATTGGCTGATGCAGCGGCAAAGCAAGCAGCCACCATGGCACCGGATGAAGGCATTCCTACTCCGCTATCTGACTATGTAAAACACTTAAAAGACACCACAAAACAAGCATGGCAGCACAAATGGGACCTATATGACGGACACATGAGATCCGTCCAAACAAGTATCGAAAATGGACTTATCCGAAGCAACTGAATCGTCGGCAGCAGACAGTCTTATGCCGACTACGAATTGGCCATTGTAAGTTGACCCATGCGTACCTGTTGGCCGGCGATCACAGACCACAATGTCTAGCATGTCAAACAGACCTCACTGTTCAACATATTCTGGTGGAATGTCGACTCTACAGTGATCTCCGCAGGGAACTACAGATGTCTTCCAATATACAAACCCTGCTCAAAACGGAATGGCCAAAAGTTATGGATTTCCTGCTGCGCTCGGATACATACACCAAGATATAGATACTCCTATTTCGTTACGCCTCCAGCCACTTCCACATCAACATTTTACGACGCATTCTCACCTACATCCCATACCTATCTGTACTTACCTTATTATCCTTGTACCATACTGGACAGCTCTGAAAAATAAAATGGTATGCACGTGGATCTCACATCATTAGACAACCGAAGAGGCAGCTTGGCTATTAAAGATCCTCAGTCACATGCGGAGTAAATATTGAACTTGTCTGTATACTATACTTACTGTTATTTATACCATATATGTTTGTCCTATGTCTTTCTATTTCCATCTCAGATCTACCCCTGAGATGTTAGGTTTGGAAAAAAAATAAAATAAAAATGACCTAATGAGGCAGGAGGGAAGCGGCTAATGACCTAGAAGTCGATGCCGCTGTGGGCATAAAAAAAAAAAAATAAATAATAGTAATAATAATAATATTAATAATTGTAATAATAATAATAATAATAATCATAATAATTATAATAATTATAATAATAATAACAATAATGTTAATAATAATGATAATTATAATAATAATAATAATTATAATAATTATCATAATAATACTAACAAGAATTACTATAATTATAATTATAATGATAATAATAATATAATAACAATAATAATAATAATAATTATTATAATAATTAATAATACTAATAATAATAATAATAATAATTATAATAATTATAATAATAATAATAATAGTAATTATAATAATAATAATTATAATAATAATAATAATAATAGTATTAATTATAATAATCATAACAATATTATAATAGTAATAATAATAATAATTATAATAATAACAATAATAATAATTATAATAATAATAATAATTGTAATTATAATTGTTGGAACGCGTACTAGCGTCACCCCGCCGCGCCGCTACTGGCGAGACGACCAGACAGGTTGCCTAACCTAGAAGCTTGTAACCGCCGTCCTGTCCCCGCGCGCCGCACCTCGGAATGCAGTCAGTAGTGAGAGTCAGTCGTGGGAAGTAGTCGAAGTACAACAGCAGCCAGAACACGCGCGCGGATCGCGGAACGCGGAAAGCCCGGTCTACACCTGTAGCTTATCTACCCATTCATGTACAAGTACTGAATAAACTGTTCTGAACCGAAGACCACTGCGAGTTGAATTGATCTGCTTACCTATCCTCAACAGGTTACGTGCCCAGAAACAGTGCTACGGACATTGAACAATTATTGCAAGTGCTGAAGATAATATAGGAAGTGTGTGACTAGTGTTATCAAACATGAGTGTGGCAAAAGTATCCTGTATAGACTCGCTTAGCAGGGATAACTACGACACGTGGAAAATACAGATGAGGGCATTGCTGGTAAGAAACGATCACTGGAGTTATGTATCTGGCGAGATAAAGCAGCCACGGATAGATGATGGGGACGAAGCATCCACGAGAGCTGTAGAAGCCTGGACTAAAGGTGACAGCAAGGCGATGTCGGACATAATTTTGTCAATAAGCCCCTCAGAAATCAAACAGGTAAAGAACTGTAATACATCCAAGGAACTGTGGCAAAAGTTGGAGGGTATTTACCAATCAAAAGGACCCGCTAGAAAGGCCACATTGCTCAAACAGCTTACACTGCAACGTATGGAAGAGGGACAGGACATACGATGTCATTTAAACTCATTTTTCGATGCAGTTGACAAGTTAAATGACATGGATGTAGAAATCAATGCAGATCTATTAGCGATAATGCTATTGTATAGCCTGCCAGCCAGTTTGAAAACTTCAGGTGTGCAATTGAGTCTAGAGACGAATTACCATCCCCGGAAATTCTTCGAATAAAAATTATAGAAGAGTATACTGCGCGGAAAGGCGACGTTCGAGAAACGGAAGGCGCCATGTTCGTGAAGCGGAATCAGGGTTGCCAGACCTATTTCTATAAGTCCCCCAGCCTAAATAACAAATTCCCCCAAAAAGCACATCTTTAAAAAAATCTCCCAAAACTTTCAAAGATATTTATTATTATTATTATACTTTGCAGGTTGGCTAAGATTGTCTTATGAGTATGGTATTTATGGTAATAACACTAATAACTAATAACAAGTAACATAAATATATATTTTTTTACTATCATAATATACGAGTAGTATGCTACAGCTCCGAGAATGCATTTAAAACTTCTTCCTCCTCCTTTTTGCAATCATACATTCTTTCAGAATTGAAATATTGCAACATATTTTCAGTTGGTTGAAAATCTGTACAACCATTTTTAAATTGCACAGGTACCATCGAACTCTCATGATAGCATCTGTACTATGAATGCCAAGCGATTTCTAAGTATGTTTTTTACCACATTTATAATGGAAAAAGCTCTCTCAACTGAAGCATTAGAAATGGAAGGCTAAGTAACGCAAGAGCTAATGATGAAATATTTTTATATCTAGGTTCCCTGCTGCATCGACGTTATTTGCCACCTCAACCCAAAACTTTTCTGTATCATGCAGGTTTATCCAATTTATTCGAGGAAGTGATTTCCATTCTGCAATTGTACTATCAAGGTCAGGACATATTGTTGAGAAAGATAAAGCAATATTAGTTATTTCAGGTTGACGTATCTTGGATGTAGCTAATTCGGGGTTAAATGAATTTATTTTCTCCAAAATATTCATACTTTCAGGGATTCTCATTTGAATTTGTCGACATAATTCCACTAAAAATCTTTACATCTAGTTCGCACCATTAGTAGTTCATCTTGTTTAATTGCTAAGGATGACGCTTTTGAATTGAACGAATATCCTAAATTTATCAATTCTATATCCATAATGTAATCTTCAAATTTGAAATCAACGACGTTATTTTTTGAAATTTATTATTTATATTATATTTTCATAGGTGGTACTAAAATACTTAGGTTATTGAAAAGTAATAAATTCAAATCTTCCATTAATTTCAGTGGATCTGCACACTCTGACTGAAACAGTTTATTAACTCTAATTATTTCTTTCAATGTCCAACTCAAAAAGGTGAAATATAATACATTAGTTTGGTCCGATAACATTTGAAACAGCTGTTCAGCCATATAACACCTTTCATTATCTTTTACTATACCAAAGTGTATTTTTAATGCATCCCATTGTTCTAGAATTTTAACTATCGCATTGTATCTGGCTAGCCATCTGGTTCCTGATAGTTGGTCAATTTTTAGTGGTTTTTGATCCGTCAGTGTTTCAAATATTTGTTTGTATGCTATTTGAATTTTTGTACTACAAGAGAACCAATTGTGGCATTCCTTGATTATAAAGTCCAAATGACGAGGTAGAAGTTTAAATGCATACTCTGCTGCCAAATGCAGAGAATGACAGACGCACTTAATAATAACAAGTTCATTATTCTTTGCTTCAAAAAAGAAGCTACTGAATTATGCGCTCCAACCATAACATTGGCTCCATCAACACCGATTCCTATTAGATTGCCTAATTTTAAACCGTCTAGCTCCAGTTGTTTTGTCACCGCAGCCGAGATAGTTATGGCATCTCCCTTTTCAATTTCGATAAGTTTGTAGAAAGTCGTAACAATCTTAGTTTGCTTTTACTAAAATATTTTATCATAACGCATAGCATTTTTGTGGAATCGACTGCAGTGCTCATCTATAATCAATGAATATTTACTATCTGCAACATCCAAAAGTAAGTCATTTAGTATTGAAGGAGCCAACACATTCAATATTAAAGATGTACATTTAGTTCTGTGTAATTTAACGTCATTTAATATTTCAGATGATTTATCTAATTTTTTTAAAAGTGATCCAAGATGATCAATTGTTGCAAGTGAGCAGTGCTCACATATGAATGCAGCAATTTTTAATTCTGCTATTTTCCTGCTGGCGGTCAAACCTTTTTTCATAAACTCAGTAATTTTTTTACTCGGGCCAGCCAAAGATCTTTTCTCCGCCTCTTGATGTTTCTTACTTTTACCGTGAAGCAGTAAGTCTTTTTTATGTGCAGCTAAAGTACATTTACATATCTTACAAAGCGACTTTGTCTCATCTGCTAATACAGGACCAATCCATCCTATATGGAATGAATAATTATAATTAATAACCCACACCATCAAAATTTCAATAGATTACCTTTAAGTTCAGCATCGGATTCCCAAGCAACTCGGTATTTTCGGGTATATAACGACTTCTTTTCTTTAGGCATATTTAGATTGACACGTACAACACTAATTTGGATAAACCATGCGTATTGAACACTCCAAAGTAAAAGAAATATAGCCTATAAAGTTAATGATAGGAAAGGAAATAAAGTTACACGATTCTCTGGGTTTCACATAGATGAGAAACACTTATTTAATCGCGCCAAAATAACGCACAAATACAAAATAATATTTTGCCGCTATTGAAGGAAACTGTAATGTAGGTGCTTCAGAATAATTTTAATAGTTGTTGAAAGATGGCAGGATTATCTGTAAATGAATTTATATTTATTCAAAGTTGTTCTCGAATTCCAATAATTCAATTGAAACTTGAAAATTGGTCGGACGACAGAATGTCTTCTTAAATCGCACCCCAAAAAACCCCAAACGGAATAATTTTCCCCCAAAAAATCCCCCACGCATTGCATACCCCCAAAAATTCCCCCAAGCAATGAAAAATACCCCAAATTTGGGGGAAAATCCCCCAATCTGGTAACCCTGAGCGGAATTATGGGAAAATCACGGTCACGCAGGAAATGGCGGACGGGGCAGCGGCGTCTCGGAAGGTGCACGAGGCAGCGGCGTCTCGGAAGGCAGAAGAACGTTCAGGTATAAGTGTCACAGATGCCGAAAAGTAGACCACAAGGCCGCTGAATGTCCAGACAAAGGTAAGACTGTTGCCAATTCTTACAAAAGTGAAGCGAACTGTTCCGAACACGTGGGACTCGTTACCGCGGAATGTTATCATGTTGAACAGAATCACAAAAGACTGAAATGGTGTCTAGACAGTGGCGCAACGTCTCACTTATGTAAAGACATTAGTTGTTTTTCTGACCTTGAACGTAGACATGATCATTTGAATTTAGCAAATAGTGAATTTAGGGACATTACAGGTTCCGGAACAGCTACGTTTGTTGCTGACGTTTTTGGCGACACGAAAAACATCTCACTCCACAAAGCTTTTCATGTTCCGACCTAAGAGTAAACTTACTTTCTGTTGCAAAGATTACCGATAAAGGATTTGAAGTTTTATTCAAGAAAGAAAATGCTTTGATCTATGATAGTAATGGTGATATAAAAGTTGTAGCCGATCGTAGTGGCGATTTATACTACGCGAGAGAAGGCGAAGCGCAGAATAAATCAGCTTTCATTTCGACCATGAATTCTAAAAATGTCAAACTATGGCATCGTAGATTAGGACATTTGAACTTTCAGGATTTGAATTCTTCATTGAAGAAAGGAAGACTAGGTGGAATAAATATTGAAAATATGCCTAATAATGGGGAACTTAATTGCGAAATTTGCATACGCGGAAAAATGACGCGTTCACCATTCCCAAAGAAGTCCGACAGGGAATCGGAAATGCTAGAAATCGTACATACTGATGTTTGCGGTCCCATGCGAGTAGAATCTCACTCGAAGTACAAATATTTTGTCGAATTCATAGATGATTATTCTAGGTATTGCACGGTATTCTTCATGAAACATAAAAATGAAGTTGTGCGAAAGACTCAGGAATATATTACACTGGTCGAAAACCAAAAGAACAAAAAGATAAAGTGCATCCAATCTGACAACGGGACGGAGTACACATGTAAGGAAATGGAGGATCTCCTGAAAAAGCACGGAATTTCACGTCGCTTGACTGGCCCATACACTCCGGAACAGACCGGTATAGCGGAGAGGAAAAAACCGCACTCTCTTGGATACAGCACGTTGTCTAATCATGCAGTCCGGCTTACCTCCGATCTTTTGGGCTGAAGCCATCAACACGGCCAACTATTTGCGGAACAGATGTCCATCCAAAA